AACCAACATGAATTCCAAAAATGCGATGACATTATAATGAGGATCATTTAAACATTTGTTCCAGAGAAGTCTGCTTTCATGATTGGTGGTAAACACATTGAGTTGACGAGCATCGATATGCAACTAATATTTGGAATTCATGGTGGGAAGAAGAGTTTAGATGTATCACATGGGCCAAGACTTCCGACTGACTTCATCCAACGAAGGTGTCCCAACATAGCATACATAAACTTGAAGATCATTAAAGAACTGTTAATGGATGCATTAATCGGGAACACTAGTCAAGACCACCAGGTTGTTGCAAAGTTATTGTGTTTGTACTTATGTGAAAAGTTATTCTTTGCCACTTCGGGCGAGACCGTGGGATGGGGGTTCGTCCGAGTTGTTGAGGATCTAGAGAACATGAAAGCATATGATTGGGTTGGAGCAATCTGCGCAACTTTGATAGAGTCAATTAAGGGATTTTACTCTAAGCCTGAGAAAGTTACTGGATATGTAACTGCCCTACTTGTAAGTGCTCTGGTTTTTTGTTTTTCCCACATTATAATTTTGATTTTGTTTGGTAGCTTTGGTACATGTATTTGTTTCGAATAAATTTGACAACTTATGTTTTTAACCCATGGTTATGCAGTTTTGGATATGTGAGCATACTAACTTGATACATGCTGATCGTAGATATGGATTTCCGAGGTTTATGAAATGGAATATCAGCAAGTTGGTCACAAAGATAAGAGTAGTGGACATCGATCAGCCGTATGATGTTGAAGTATGAATTTGTGTACTATTAGCATAAATATGAGATGTGGCAATTTCTATTTGTGATTTTTATTTTTTATTTTGTTTGTAGGTTGTGGTAGGAGAGCTGCACATGAGTCATTCTGAACGGAGTATCACGAAGGCGAAAGACGTTAAGGAAATTGGAGCAAATGCCGAATGTTCGTATCGCAGTGGAGTTGGTGGAAATATGGGCTCGACTATTAGGACAATTGTAGATGGCAGCATTTTGGGTTCAATTGATGGTATTCGTGTCTATGGACTGGACAACGTAAAGCAAAATGTACAAAATGAAAGAGATGTCAACAGAGGTGGTGCTGATAGTAATGGTCATTATGGTCAGTGTGCATCTACATCTGAAGAATACCAGAAAGCATTGGTAAAAATTGGTGTGCTCGAGATAGAACTCCACTGTAAATCTGATGTCATGTTTTCTTTAGAGACACAACTGTCAACAATGAGGACATTATATGAAGAAAATGTAGGAAGTTCGCGCATGAAATCACACTGACCAATAACCAGAAAGAATATGACATTGAAAGGATGAAGCAGCTAGTGGATGAGATTAATGACAAAAATGCGAAGCTTGTAGAACAGTTGAAGGAGTACGCAGTGCATGAATACACGCAAGCAGCTGCTGGTGTATAGAAGATAATGCAAAGTAATCAGGACATGTACCATTGTGAGGCAAACATACTTGACATTATGCTATTGTCAACGTCATCTCCATCTGATGTGAATGAGAAGACAGAGTTACGAGGGGTGGATACTCATGTGACCCCGACCGCCGACATTGGGCATGTGGCGTGTGATGTGGATATAATGCCTGGGATAAGTCAAAATACTAGAACAACAACTGCATTGTAGAACTCGCTTGTGAAAAGCATTAAAAATAAAAATCGGAAAGAGCACAAACTGCTAGAGTATGAATACCCATTGCTTTTGGGGAGGTTGATGAAACCATCTAATAGTGGTGTGGTCAATGGGGGTGAGTGTGCCGATAAACAAATAATACAAGATGAGATCGTAGAGGTTGAAGACCTTGCAGAGCCGGAGAGGACATTTTCTCGGTTTGATTGACTAATCGTTTGCCGATCTGGAAGTTATTATCAACGCAAGAGAAAGACAAGCTTAAAGAAACGTGCGAGAAATGAGGGGACATGTAAGTTTCGCAACTTACTATTACCATTTTGCATTTGTACATGAATTTAATGTTCAATAAATGTCTTGTTTAACTGGTAGTGTGCAAGTCTGGACTGGGCAGAATGGTTCCTATTCTGTCTTTCAATGACATACGGGCAATCGTTGAGGGGCTGACGTTATGAGGCAATGTAAGTATGGTATCCCTAATTATTCTTCAAACTTTTGAAGCTTCTTAACATGCGTATGCAATTTATGTAAATGTATACGAGGGAAGCAAAATCATAAATGTTTTATTTGTGCACGTAAGTGATTGATGCATACGCGAAAATGCTGATGTACGAGCAGCAGATCAAGGCATCTACATCCACGGATGAGGAAAAATCATACATTTTCAGCACGTTATGTTTGGTAAGACGTGGCCTTTGATGAATTGATTTTAGTCATTTTGTGTTTGTGCCAATGAACACAAAAATGAATGTGTGCAGCCTACGATTGGAGATGTGGGCAAAGATATATGTGACAGGTATGTGCGTGCCCCTCATGCCCTCAAGACCAGATATATTCAATTCTCAATCCACTTAGATAACCATTGTACACTAATGGTTTATGACACTGAGAAGGGGTTTTGGATGCATTACAACTCAATGAAACCAAGACGTGGGAGGGAAAACAAACATTACTGGGAAGCGTGGTTGCTAGTTAGTAAACGTGAATTAGTTAATTGCAGTGATCTTTGTATTTTATTTTGGACAACTAATTAGTTGGTAATATAAATTTGACAATGACGTAGAAGGGATACTTTGAGGATTACATAAAGCGGAGATTGAAGGTTGGCACAGTTAAAACACAAGCCTTGGTAAAGGAACTTTTAGTGATTGATTATTGTCCGTAACAAAAAGCAGACTCGTAAGTCTGTGTTACGTTTCTTTGCAACGTATGTCATTCATGTTTCCATACATTGCACGTGACCTGTTTTGACGTTGTCACTAATGTCTTTAATTTTTCTAATAAGAATGATTGTGGAATTATAATATGCTTCATTATGAAGCAACTTGTGCGTCACCTAGATATGGACAAGTCAATGGGAGGGGAGAGCTGCAAAACGATGCGAGCCGGTATGGTGAAGTCATTTGTGAATGACCGGAAAAGGTCATTTGTTGCTGCCAATTGACAATCTTCCAATGGTGGTAAATGGATGCATCGTTGATATTTTTAGTATAAATTCACGATTAATTAGTTTTTGAATGGTATAGTACGTTTGTCGGTAAACAAATTCTTGGAAGTTTTTGATGTTTTTGGTTGCATTGTCAATATGGATTGAGGATTCGTACATTTTGTTTTGGGAACATGTTACAATGGTTCATTCATTATTTTTTGTATGCACTTGGTTTTGGTAATGTGGCTTTATGTGTCATTCACTAATGTCAGTAGGAAGTTAAGGGCAATAGGAATGTTGGGTACCTAAATGTGAATGCGGTTGTGTAAATATGAATGTGAATATTAATGTGACTAAAAATGTGAAGGTGAATGTCAATGTCAATGTCAGAAATAATGTTGGCTGTTCATTTATAATACCCAGATTGTGATTGTGAATGTATGACAGTGTTTGGTACTTGTCTTAGGGAGTGGGAAAATGCAAATGTGAATGTGGTTGTGTAAATGTGAAGGTGTATGTTACTGTGATTGTGAATGTGAATGTGAATGTCAGAACGAATCTTGGTTGTCTACCTATAACACCCAGATTGTGATTGTGAATGTATGACAGTGTTTTGTACTTGTCTTAGGGGGTCGAAAAATACAAATGGTAATGTGGTTGTGTAAATGTTAATGCAAATGTTAATGTGATTGTGAATGTATAGGTGAATGTGAATGTGAAGGTCAGAAGGGCTCTTGATTATCCGTCTCTAATACGCAGATTGTGATGGTCAATGTATGACAGTGTTTGGTACTTGTCATAAGGAGATTGAAAATACAACTAAAAAGATTAAGGATTGATAACATGGCCTTTGTTGTCTACGTTGGTGAAATTGTTGCTTTGGACATTCACGTTACGTATCGATGGTGGATTGTTGTAACAAAATTTGACTTTCCATGTATACTTTAAATATTATGAAAGTGAATGTATTGGAGTGTTTACTACTTGTGATAGGTTGTTTAGGGTGGTGGGTTTGGTCAGATAGATATGGTTCAATTTTCATTTACCAAATGTCACTTTGTCTGTAGATGCCTTACATTTTGAAATTGTCATTCACTAAGTATGTATACTGGCACATTAACGTTGGGGTGTGCTTTGTCAATTTAATCTATCAAGAATATGCTGCAATTTAAGATTGATGAACTAGTTACAGGATAACTATGTCACACTAAGAGAATAACACCAACGTGACCTGGCTTCAAAAACTATGTCTTCTCACATACAAGGCCAGTGTGCGACGCGCTACCCAAACGTATTTTGTTAGTTTGAAACATACAGTTGCATGAACAAATAAATAAACATGTAAACCTAACATATGAATGAATGCAGTGTGAAGGAAAAAACTAGCTGAATGATCACTTATAAATAATGAGTTCACTTATTAAAATTTGTCATCATTTTGTTTCGCTACATTCTACTACGACAATACAATGTTGCTATTCAAAACTGATTATAAAACTTTCCCATTAAATGTCTATTACTAAATTGGTTCTTTACATGTCTTTCGATTGTAGCTACCCATGCGGCCATATCGACTGCACCTGATCTGACTTAGTTTTTCTCCCCGGGATGGTATCTGATTCTTTTTCGATCGCCCTGGAGGACGTTTAACTGCCGGTGGATATATGATGAAGTCATCTTCCGAGAATGAGGGTTTGTCAATTGTTGGTATTAGCTGAATGTATCCGGAATAAGCTGCTTTGTACTAATCGACGATGAAAAATTGTTCAACGCATGTAATAAAATCCCTTCCACTATTCTGTATTGCAACCATCGCATGTGCACATGGGAATCCATTCAATTGCCATTGGAAACATGAACATGAATGCTTGCCAATGTCTACTAACACCGTTGGAAATGAATTGACCTCGTATATGTCTTCATTTTCCTAGCTAACAACCCATGTGCAACCATTGGAGTACGTCTCCCTAACACGGCTTTCCATTTTTGGACAAAGTAATCCATTCCAATTAGTAGCTAATAATTTACGCTCAGCCCTCATAGTCATTATCTGATTTCTGATTGTATCAACCAACCTTGTGATTGGGTAATTACGGACATCAAGTATCCATTTATTAAACGATTCTGCAACGTTCAAGGTCATCTCCCAATACCATTTGCCCCTGTTGACATTATGAAAACATAATAAAAATGTTATCACATATTGGGAACTTTCAATGTTATCACATGTAAGTATCGTACAAACCTGAAATACGCGTTGGCCTAATGGTTTAGTGGCATATCTTCCAAGAAATTATTTATTCCAGATCATCCTATTCCTTTTAGCTTGGTCAATTGGTGCTAAAACGAAGCCTCAGTTGGAGCATATGCACATTCACGCAATTTGGCCATTAAACCAAAATGGACACGATTGTCAACCCATCGTAATTTGTCCCTCAAATTTGCTTGGATATGTTGTAAGCAGTACGCATGGTGTGCAGATGGGAATATAGTAGGCAAGGATTCAAGCAACCCAGCATTATGATCAGATACGAAAGTTAATGTGCGAGCACTACTGACAACGTTTGTCAGATGGTGTAAAAACCAAGTCCAATTTGCAGTCGTTTTGGAGTCAACAATAGCAAAAGCTAATGGGAATAAACCTGGCAGATTGGACAAGTTTTACGTTAAATGTGTAATATTTTTAACAAAGTTTACGTTCACATTAACAATTGTTCACAATTCAAATCGCACCATACACAATGATATGAAAATAACATTAAATTGGAAACAATCTTGCCATTGGGGATCACCCACTGCTATAGTGGACTAATAGAAATTGTTTAGTGACAATGTGATGCATTATTATATGGAATTTTGAAGTAATCATCGTAAGACACGTACCTTTGTTGCCATCCTTTCCCGTCGCTGCAAGCAAATTGCCTTTAAATCTCCCTTTCAAAAAAATGTCATCAAGAAACAATAATGGGCAGATATGGTTGAATTCGTCAATGCAAGATTTAAATGATATGAAGAATCGCTTAAATCGACCGATTGACTGCTTGAAATCCAAGTTGACATAACTCCCAGGGTTGTACTGCATAACCGCATCCGCGTACCATATAAGTTGATCGAATGAAACATGTTAGTCACCATACACTTCGCCTCTTGCCTTCTCCATACCTAACCAGGCTATGTGGTAACTAACATTCTGTCTGTACTCCTTTTGTAGGTCAAACACAACGTCAATGGGACGTGTAAGCAGCTTATCACGTAACCGATCACCAATAACATTGCAAACCAATTCAGAGTTGAGTCTACTATTCTTCCCAGTGCGAACAACAACACCACAATTATGCAAGTTGTTCAACCTCTTCAAGTAAAAGTATCCATTGCATATTTGAACCCTTCCATGTATCAACCATGTACACCTTTTTTGCTCTCGCAACGTGCACACAGCTATGACCCGTACGGAATCGTTTTTCACGAATTTGAAGTCAAACCCGCACTTAATAGCATATTTGGACAGAACCAAACGAAAAGCAGCAACACCCCTCTCGAAACATTGGCCTACGTGACTAATGTCGTGTGACCAATCAACTGTCATCAACGTTTTCTCACTGTGGCGACAATAATTGGGCAACAAATCTACGTTAGTTTTGGGACTCGGTAATTGTTCAATGTTAGGATCCATTTGATTTGCGGATATAGTCCCATCGAATTGATTACCTCGAATCAAATAATCCACCTCATTTTGCGAGTCAATCGCAACGTTGATATGGGTAACACCAATGGACCTTGCAATGGAAAACATGTTTTCCATGTCCACATCATTACTCATCATGAATTGGTTCTTGTGACATGATTGTTTGTAAGATATGGAAATCGATGATAGTGTCACATCCGCTCACCTGTTACATCAATTTTCTACCAATTGTTTGAATGTCAATCCGTTAACACCCTTGATAGCAACAGTGGATGAACTGAAGGTGAAAAATAGCATGATGTCCATATCCTGCGCAACAAAATAAAAGAAACATTAACTATGTCACGACATTCTACAAAAAATCAAAAAAACAAGGCATGGAAGACATCTGATATGTAATCAAATGTGAGCACAGTAATGTCGACATCGTATAACGTGGTTCAACCCACATTCAATCACAATCAATCATAAGAAATTTTACAACTGAACAATAACAACCCAAATTGAATAATATATAATGAAAAGTAAAAGTAACATTAAAATACATTCTAATACTTTTCATCAACCAACAACATTGTCACATTCAATTGGAAAAAATAGAAACCAAAGAGTTTGCGAAACGTAATGTGACACATATGTCCATAGTAAATACAACAATGGGACAACACAATACTAAAACCATGCTCATATCCATGTGTATGTGAGTTACATTCACATACATTCCAATACTTTCCACAAATAAGCAACATTGTGACATTGAAATGGAAAAAATAGAAACCCAATAAGTTTGTGATCTGTAATGTGAGACATATGTTTTCCAAAAGTACAACAATTGCAAAACACAAACTAAATACAAACGAACATAACACAGATCAAAAATGACAAACATCGCAGGTATGGTTTAACATTACAACCTAAACGTAACGGCCTTTGAGGCTAACGGAATTGTGCCAATGTATGGCTGTACCATTTCGCATAACCCAACAACATTCTCACATTCTCACTTTCTAATTTAATGAGCAAGCGTAATGTACTTTTACGAAACGTAATATGACACGTATGTAAACATTACAATACAATAACGTTACCACAGAAGTTGATGCATGATTACCATTACAAAGTGTGCCAATGGATGGCTATACAAGATTGCGAAATCCATATGATATATGAGAACATTGAAAACAAAACAATCGGGAAAAACACAAAGCAACACTCACCAATTGAAGAAGCAGACAACTTTATCTCCTTCCCTCAAACAATCTGAGTCCAGATCGACAAGATCAAACAACAAAAGCATCCAGACCAGTAACATTTTGAAAACCCACCAGCCTCCGCGATCATGGCACAGATCATGGCACCCAACAATTTGGAAACAATACGGTTAATAACTTATAACATGGAAACATATATAAAGGGTATAATAGTACACTGATACCATTTAAACACAATTTATAGGACCTTGTGGAACACTTTCTAATTTAAATAGGACTTCAAACTCTATAAGAAATTTCACAGGACTTTACATTACATAAGTCTCCCTAATAGGACTTATAAATAATTTTCTCCTATTTTTATATGTATTTATAGTTTTTGCAAAAACAGAAATACCCCTATTGTTCTCTTGAATGAGATAATTTTCCTCAAATCTTCTTCAGATAAAACACAACCAAGTCCAAATCAATTCGAACACATTTCCAAACCTAGAATCCAACGAATAAAGATTACACAAACTGAAACTCAAATGATTAGCTAGCGTTTGGTAACGTTTACATTTTTTGTTTATGTTTACAAAAATTTTATAAACTGATTTTTGTTTATTTTTAGAAAAATATAAACTACAAATGCGTTTGGTTTGAACGAAATGTTTGAAAAAATTTAAAAACATAAACTAAAAAAAATATTTGTTCAGGCCTAAAATATTTATATTTATTTTTATTATTTATGACAATGTAATCATACACATTATAATTGAAAATGATAATTTAAAAAATTATTTGAAAAAAAAATTATTTGGAAAAAAAATTTAATTGAAAAAAAATAATTAAAAAAATTATTTGAAAAAAAGATTAATTGAAAAAAAAATGTTAATCAAATTTTTAAATTTCTGTTTAAAAACCAACGTAAAGTCATTTTTTGAATTTACGTTTTTCCCTCAAATTTATAAACTAAGACAACTATTTATAAACCAAAAAAATTATAAAACAAGTTTTTATGACAGTTTTTAAAAATTTTATAAATATAAACTAAAAATTAAAAACGAAATGATTACTAAACAGGCCCTTAATATTTAAATTACATGTATTAGCCAATGAAAAAAGAGAGGTTAAAAAAAATAAGGAAAATTTTCAATTTATCATCCTGTGATTTAATGCTAGAGCAGTTTACCTTCCTTACTTTTAAAAATAGTCAAAAATCGTTTTGCAACTTGCGTCAGTGCTGTTAGTAGTTCAGTTAGCTTTGATAGAATTTGAGATACACTCGCCAAAAAGTAGAGTTGACATAAAAGAAAATAATTTTAAAGTCAAAAAATAATATCAAGTCATATTTGCCCTTAGTTCTTCGTCCCTAATATCTAATCCTAAATTTTAAAGCCCTAACCATAACCACACCCTCTTACAGGGGTGAAAATTTGGCATGTAACTTGTTACCATGACTCACTTACAGGGGTGAAAATTTGGCATGTAACTTGTTACCATGACTCAATCGTACACATAATTAGAGGGTTAGGATTAGTTATTTTTTTATTTGAACTTGGATATGATATAACCCGAAAATGGGAATATTAAATAAGTCATGTTTGAGTCGAACATACGAAACCCGAAATGGACATGTTTGACTCATATAAAAATTCGTGTTGACACATTGACATGAACCTACTCTTGACTCGCATGTAACTCGAATACAACTTGAATCTAGTAATCATAAGATATTGAGTAATTCATTCACATCTATTAGATTGAAACTTAAATCTCTATATAATATATGTACCTAATGAAGTGCAACCTTAATTAGTGATAAATCGACTGGCGGTTGTGATTTGATAAATTGTTTGCCTCCCCAAAATCTTGAAGAACTCTCTAATCAAGTAAAAGTCATAAAACTTCTTCGTTTTTTTTCTTGGCATACAAGTTACAACGGTGAGACAATGTAATTGATAATTATAATATATTTTGTTAGTTTATTAATATTTTTTGTGTTATAATTTTTATTCACTTCGTTTAATTTAGTTAATTTATAATATTTTTTTGTGTTATAATTATTACTCACTATGTTTGATTTAGTTTTTAAAATTGTTCTTTGAATTTTTTTACAAACTATAAATTAAATTAGTTTGATAAAATATAAATAAAAAAAATAGTCACCTCAAAAAATAATAATATAAAAATAATTAGTATTTGTTTTTCGAGCAAACTATTTTTTATGTTTAATTAATTTTTATCAAAAGAAAAAAAAGATTTTAAAAACCAAAACATCATATTTTTCAGATTTTTTTTTATTGTATTAAGCGTGAATTTTTTTACAAACTATAAATTAAATTAGTTTGATAAAATATAAATAAAAAAAATAGTCACCTCAAAAAATAATAATATAAAAATAATTAGTATTTGTTTTTCGAGCAAACTATTTTTTATGTTTAATTAATTTTTATCAAAAGAAAAAAAAAGATTTTAAAAACCAAAACATCATATTTTTCAGATTTTTTTTTTATTGTATTAAGCGTGTTATGTTAGGGTTAACACGATTACAAATAAGTTACGCCAATGTCAAGATAATTGATTAATTAAACAGATCATGATAGTGTTGGATTGTTTTAAATATGAACTTGATATGAAACGACACGAAAACTTTACGACACAATTCTCATCTCTACTCCTACCTCCAGCCACCTCTCTGGCATTACCCACCTCTACTACTACTTGTCATTCCTCTCCGTCCATCTCCTGTGACCATTGCAGTCCCTCTCTCGCTACCTCAATACCGTTGCACTTCCTCTTCCCTTAACCACAGGGACAGAACCAAGATTTTATCATTAGAGAGGTCAACAAACAAATAATATTTTTTCATCCTATATATGAAACACACATGTATGTACAATACGATATTTAAATTATATATATACATATAAAAAATAAAAATTTTAAAAAAATATCAAAGAAACAATCTCTAATAAGATGAAGAAATTTTTTAATAAAAAATAAAAAGAAAATGCAAAATGAGAAAAGAACAATATATATATATATATATCTTTTTATACTAATAAACCATTTTATTTATGAAATAATATATATTTTTAGATGTGCTATGACAAATAGAATTTTTCATAGAAATAGAGAAATTATGGCCCCATATAATCTTCTATTAGTTCTATGCTTACACATACAACCCCTCACCAGCTCCCATCATCCACACCCTTTGCCTAGGACCAAATTTATTCATGTTCATGTAAAATGATGCTTTTGGACTTGAATAATACTATATGCACTAATTATTATACTAATTAGTGTATTAATTGATAATGTAAAATAATTTAAGAGATTTTTAATATTTATAATTTGTATAATGAGGGGTCAATAATAATGTCATAACTAATGTTAGTACACTAATTAATATACTAATTGGTGCATATAACAAAACCGTTTGGACTTGGATGGATTCTTATAAGATGGAAACTTGATCCAAATACCCACGATTTGGAATTTGGACGGCGATAACTTATTCCAATCAATGCCCAATCTGCAAAATGTATAATAGTTATACCACTACAAGAAAATACATTTTTGGCGACTAAAAAAAAATTAGTTGCCAAAAGTATAGGAATTGGCTACCAAAATAATATTAGTCGGCAAAAGTCAAATATTTAGCTACTAATTTTTTTTGGTCGGAGAATATTGATTATTGGTGACTAAAAAAAATTTAGTAGCTAAAAATATTACAATTGGCGACTAAAAAAGCTAAAAAATATCACAATTGGCGACTAAAAGAAATTTTAGTAGCTGTAGAGCTAGTTTTAGCTACTAAAATTGTTTAGTAGCCGAATGAAAAGAAAAAAATTATTTTTATCTTTGGCGACCAAAAATTTGGTTGCCAAAAGTATATTTTCAACGATAAAAGAATATTTTTGTCATCGTATAGTTAGTTTTAGCTACTAAAATTGGTTAGTAGCCGAATGAAAAGAAAAAAAATAGTTTTATCTTTGACGACCAAAAGTTTGGTCGCCAAAAGTATATTCATCTCCTCTGCTGATCAACCTGCTGATATCTTTACCAAAGCCCATTCTCCTGGTCGCTTCGTTGAACTTGTCTCCAAACTCAAGTTGGTTGATGTTTGTCCTCCTTGAGTTTGAGGGGGGCTGTTAATATTATACTGTTAATATAATACTATATAATACTATATATATATATCATTGTTAATACTATATATGATAGTGTGAATATATTAAATATAATATCGACAGAGGCTTTCGGCTGCTTTCGGCGCCTCCTCCTTTCGGCATCCCTTTTATTATTTTATTACATTCCATCATCATGATGTCTTGTATCAGAACTCCTATATAATGGAGTCTCTAATTTTGTTTCAGACAGAGTGTTAATAATACAGAAACCTCTTTCAATATTACTCTCTCAATTCTCTCAATTTCTCTTTCACCCCCATCTCCTCTCTCTCTCTAGCGAGAAACTGTCTTCTCACTTCTCTGATTGACCTCCAATTCCACCCACCAATGGCGCGGCTGCGGCCACAGGTCGCCACCACCACTACTGTCTTGATCCTATTTCTCGTGGCCAAGGTCATTTCCTCTGGCGAAGCAACCACCATCGTCCTTCGACCACCCCACGGCGGCAGCAATCGCCACACCATATTCCTTCCCCTCTTTCTCTCTCCTCCTCCTAGCAGCTCTTCCGGCAACTCCTCTCCCTCTGTCCGCCACCAGATTTAGGGGTCCGACCCTCTCCACCCTAACGCTCGCATGCTCCTCTATGACGATCTCTTTCTCAACGGGTAATAAATCTTCACATCTTCTCCGATCTCTTTCATATGTAATTCAATGGAATTAAAACTTGGTGTTGTTGCAATTCCCTGCTCTACATGTGAACAGTATACTTTTCCGATCTTTTCGATTTATGCTCACCATGTGTATGTAAAAATGTCATAGAGAGATTTTGAGGACTGGTATGTTCGTTCAGTAATTAAGTTGACTACATGCTTTATTGTTAGTTGTAGAATGATTTTTTGTCCCCTAGAAATATAGGGTATCATGTTTTGATTATCTGATCAATTTTTCAATGTGACTAGAATTGTATCTTTATGTGATTGTAGAAATGCACAAAGGCTGAGGTCAAATCTTTAAAGGATGTTGCGAACAGTTCATATGCACCTAAGTATGACATCTCTGGGATTACAGATCCTTTTCTCCATATCAGATTACTCAGGTTTTTACGCATATTGGGTCACAGAGATGCAGATGCTAGCGATTGCATGAACGACATTCTTGCTCAAGTCAGCTGCTATTTGTACTCCCACGCCCCTGCAATCAATTCATGCTATATTAGTTGAAAAAGTGTATAAAACTATTGATAATTTCTTGTATGTTATTATTTACTATTTATTATTACTGTGTGATTATTTATATATTTATTTTTTAACCAGAAATTCATTTGTGGTTGAATTGGCAATTCGCTATGATGCTACTTTTGGTGAATGAAATCTAGGTTATTTTTTTACTATTTTCTTTTATTGCTTATTTTTCAACATATTATCTAAATTTGTAACTATCCAAATGATTTACATGCATTCTTGCCTGTTTTCTCAACCGCTCAGTACCTTGGTCTGCAATTACACATACTCAATGAGATATATTACCTAAATGGCAATCTTCTCTGTTTTGTGTTCTTGCATACTTGTTTTGTTTATGCTCCATGTGATTGATGACTACTATTTCTTTTGATCTGATAATGCATGATTGTGCTCTTGCATGCTCAATAAAATAAATTATCCTGTGGTCTTGCAAAGATGTGCATTCGTATGTTTTTTTATGCTTCACATGATTGATGAATACTCTCTCTCTCTTTTGACTTGATGATGCATGCTCTAATCAGTTATATGTAACATTTTTCTATGGCAATGATATTTATACTACACTTTAAGCTTACCACACTCCTTTGTTTGTGCTTTGCCTCTCCCAAGTGGAGGGTGAGGCTAAAAGTGGAGTGTGAATATCATTATTTTTCTATTGTTTCTCTTACAATCTCAAAGTAGATGAGCATATTTATCTTGAACATGAATGCAGAGAATGTACCTTGTTCATAGGACAAAGTCTGATGGTACTAGTGACATTGTTGTATTCTTTTTCCAGGTTGCAACAAAAACTAAGTCGAACAAAAATGCCGGGAATGCCATTTTATATGAATGTGTTGAAACAATTATGAGCATTGAAGATAACAGCGGCTTGCGGATGCTTGCCATCAATATTTTGGGAAGATTCCTGTCAAACCGTGACAACAATATGAGCATTAAATTTATGCATACCCCTTGACTGTGGTGCATTCTTGTTATCTTGACTTTGCTTATATATTTTTCAGGATTCAAATGGTTCTATTCGGAAAAGGGCCCTTGAACTTGTGTATCTTTTTGTAAATGAAAGCAATGTAAAGTCTCTAAAAAAAGTGCTTATTGAATATCTGGAAGTAAGTGATCAAGATTTCAAAGGAGATCTTACTGCCAAAATTTGCTCCATTGTTGAAAAGTAAGTAGTATAAATGTTTCATTGAAAATTTTGAACCTCTTTCTTGTTGAAACCTTGCAGAGTGGTATGAACTTATTTCTGTAATGTAATCTTAACATGTAATGTATGGTTGGGCTTCGATCAAGTAGGACAAATTGCAACCTAAGATTTATCAATATGATTGGCTAAGAATCATAAGTAATTAAAGTATATTAGTTTTCTCGTCTAAGATGCTTCACTTATTTGTTATAAGATTTATTGACTTGTATTGTTTGAACAGATAGGTTAGAATGAAAATTAGACCTGTCTGATTCGCTAATGTAACAGCCTAAGAATTTGAGCCAAGTTTTTCAAATGTGTTGAACAACTAATCTTTGAGCCAAGTTAGTGTTAATCACATTGAAGAAGAGGAGAATAGAGGTACAAGATAAACAAAGATGATGTGGTATTATTGAGTCACATTATGGAAAATTATGCCTAGGTAACAGCTAAAGTGGCCATTGTTATCATGAATCGACCATTTATGAACATTGCTAATATAGTTAAAGCAAAGTCGATGAAGTGGAGAAATTCATTTAGCGTAGTGTGTGAATGATAAATATGTTCTGAATTGCATGGAAATTTCATATAATAGGTAGACACTGTTCATACTTTATAGAATAGTGCGCTAGAGAATTCTAGAATTGATAGGTAGACGCTACTCACGCTTTTATGTCTGAACTAAAATGGAATATTTTACAATTCTTTAAGTTTAAAGAATTTAGGCCTCGTTTGGCAAGAGGCTATTTTAGTCAATTAGCCAAAAAGTTACTAAATTAGTCAAAAAGCCAACAACCCATACCAAAAAGTCAAAGATTCTCTTTTCTCTCTACTTTTTGCACATCTTTTCGTAATTAGCCAAAAAGTCATCACAAACATACAAGTTTTTTTTACCTACTTTTTTAGCCAAATAGCCAAAAAGTTACTAAATTAGCCTGTTCCCAAACGAGGCCTTAGTACATTTTACAATTCTTAAAAACTGATGCAATGAGTAAGTTTCTGCTTCGCGATCTGTAAATTATCAATGTGTATCTGTTTTAGGCTCCTTCTCCTTATATCTATGGCATACACTTGACTATACTAGTTTCATATCCTTGGGTTGCTATTAAACCTTAAAATCCAATTATTCAAAGTTTTGGGATGCATTTGTAATGCTGCTTGGTTCATGATTTATGGAATGCCAATAGAGAGTAGCACATATGGGTTTGTGGTATGTTTTTTTTTAACTGATGTTTCAGTTATTATGGGTTCTTGAAGGACTAATATGTATATATTAATCTATGTTGTATGTACTCAAATTGAACATCAAATAGAGCAACTAGATTCAAGTGTTTGAATTTCCAGTTATTATTAGGATTACTTTTATAGCAACATCAATTTATTAGCAACATCAAATAAAACAACTAGATTCATATGTTGTATGTACTCAGATTGAACATCAAAAATTTTATTTCATATATGTTCGAGTATGCAAAACTAATGATTAATTTGAAAAGATTACTTAATTTCGAGTTTTATATTTTTTTTTATAATTTTAAATTGGCCAATATTTAGTCAATACTAATGATTTTTTTTTTTTTTTTTGCAGATGGTTTTTGACGTACAAATGTGGATATGACTTTTTTTGACAAGTACAGAAGGGCATTATTTTTATATCTCCGTCCATATATATAGTGGTTCATACAAATTAGTTTTTTGGCGTGGTAAATATCCAAAATTTGGCCCGATAGAAATTAGCATTGGACGTGGTACAAATTAGTTTTTGGGGCGGTACAGAATAAATTTTTGGTGCGGTATAGATTTTATTTTGGATATTAAATTTGGTTAATCCTCTATTATGTATGGAATTAAATTATTGGGGTTGAATTATACTTGGTTCGTATGGAATTTGTATTAGATTTAGAATTGGACGTTGAATATAAATATTTTGGATGGTTGGAAGTGAAATGTGTGCACGTTGTTGAATGGTTGATAATATATTCAGTATTGATGGATTATATTGTTTATACAGGGTACAGGTTGCACTAATAATGGATACAGGTGGTTCAGAAATTAAAAAAAAAATAAAAAATCAATATAGTATTTGATGACTAAATATGTTGGTAGCCAAAAATATAAGCAAATGTTTTGGCGACCAACAATTTAGTAGTAAAAAATAACCAAATGGCTTTTTGTGACCAAACCACATAGTAGCTAAAACAAATCAAAATGAGGGAAGTTTAATTGCCGGTTAAATATTTTAGTCACTAAAAACATGTCATCCTTTGGCGACAAAGTGTTTGGTCGCTAAATGTACGTATTCTATTAGCGACTAAAATTTTAATCTCTAATAGTTTAATTTAGTTTTCTGTGAGAACTTTTGGCGACTAATATTTTAGTCTCCAAAAGATACCTTTGCCGACTGACCAAAGTTTAGTAGCTAAAAGTTCAATTTCGGCGACCAATAATTTAGTCATCAAAAGATCACCTTTCCCGACTAACCAAAGTTTAGTAGCCAAATGTTTAACTTTCGGCGACCAAAAATAGTTTAGTTGCCAATACTATCGCCGAAAGGGTATAGGCGACGAACTTGGTAACAAAAAAATTTAGTCGCTAATTACATTCGGCGACCGAAAATGGGACTTTCGGCGACCAATATTTTGGTCGCCAAAACTGTCATTTCCTGCAGTGTACATTGTTGGCACCATAAATTTACAAATTTATTATTTATTATTTATATAATTGCAAGATATGTGGCACCCTCCTACTCATTTGGAGGTTATGAGAAGTTATGAAATGTGGAAAGATGATGGAGAACAAAGTGGAAAGCATGAAATATGAAATGGAGGTTGAAGGAAGTTATGGAAGATCATGGAGTATGAAATGAATGAAGTAGAAGAGTGGGTAGTTTTAGGTAGTTTTTTCCTACAAATATTTTCCTATAAATAGCTATCCATGGCTACATTGTAAAAGTATGGAACTCAAATAAAAAACAATTGATTTCGATTTTTCTTGTCATTTATATTTCCTACATTTTATTTTATGCACTTTTTTTTTGAAGCATTTATTTTACGCACTTCCTTTTCGAAGCATTTTATGCACTTCCTTTTAAGGGCATAGTAGTAGAGGTAAATAATTGTTACTTTGATTATTTACTCAATCACCTTGATTGTTCACTCAATCATCTTTCTTTGTCTCCCTCCTCCTTCTGTTAATTTTTCTTTTCTCCACACTTGGCAATTTTGAGGTCCTCTTCATTGAGACAAAAGAACTGTCAATACAATCGCTTGATAATTGGCTTGAATTTAATCTGTAAGGATTTTTCAATCGTTACTGGCACGCTCACATTTATAATATTTTCCTTTGTAGGAAAAATAAACCAACATATATATATATATATATATAATGTTTATATATGTATGTGTATCTAAGGTATTTAGATATTAATTTGCGAACCCACTGTGTGTATACGCACGTATGCACTGTGTGCATCTACACTAATATATAAACATATTATATATTATATTTATTATATAATTAAATATGAGATTATATTAGAATAAAGTCAAAAAGCTAGATAAATTAAGTAATCATACGATATTTAATTGGTAAATATGTGATTAAATTAAAATTAATTGCATATATGTAAACATAATATATATTATATTTACTAAATAACGCAACAGCAACATCAGAATAAATGAGAAATAATGCTAAAAAGTTAGACAAAATTAATTAATTATGTGTGATTTAATTGATTAATATGTGATTAAATTACAATTAATTGCATAATACAAGATATAGAAGTAGAAGACAAAAGGAATAGGCAAAAAAAGAGAGGGGTAATTAGGTCATTTTAAATTTTTCGTTAGAGTGATTCTACTTATACCACTATTTTACCTACTTATACTCTCTATTTCATTACACTACTAAAAAAAATGTAATTCTTATTACACCCATTATACTACCAAAACTAATTATAAACTAAAAACTTTTCCAAACCCTTTCAGTTTTGTCTCTTTACACCGATAGATTTTGGTAATACAATATTAAAGAATTTGAATTACTCCAGTGTCGTGTTACCAGACAAACTATTTTTTTTAGCCATTTGTTTTCGTTCAATTGGATGATTTTGCTTTACTTTGCTAAGAAAGTAGTTGGAACCCGTTTATAAAATGCATATTCAATGATACATTAGCCCCGTTTGGTGCAGCTGTTAAAATAGATTATAGATTATAGCTTAACAGATTATAAATTATGACTTTAATCAGAAGTTGTTAATTTATTTGGTGTAGCTGTTGAATTATAGATTTAAGTTGCTGAGTAATGTTTGTTAAATAAGCTGTGAAATAGCTTTTTCATTTAATTTTTATTTTTTGTTATTCACTACTTGTCTACATTTCTCATAAAAATAATAATAATAATATTCTATAGTCCATTTGGGTTTTTTTCTATTTTTAAAAAAATAAAAAATAAAAAAATCTAAGAGTGTAACCATAAATTAATATGTCCACAGCATAAGCAAATAATTAGAAGTAAGGGTTGAGCAGCTTCTCAGAATCAGCTTTTTTTACTTAAAATAAGCTGTTAGAATCAAAAGTTGTTTGAAATAAGTTTAACCAAACAGTCCAAAATAACTTTTCAAAAGCAAGAAGCCATAAGTTGGCTCAAAAAAGCCCAAACAAACACCCTCATTGCTATACAAATTAGATTACTCCAATGTCATGTTGCCGAACTAAAACAAATTTGTCCAGCCACCTGTCGC